GGAAAAGCCGGCAGCGAGGAGGGATCCGGCCTGCTCGCGGAAACCACTGCCGCACAGTTCCTCCAGCGCCGCCGCGCCGACCTGCAGGCGCTCATTTATTGCGTCACCGCGCCCTGCACTTCCGCCTGGCGGGGGTGTGGCGCTGTCCCGCTTCCGCTTCCTCCCGGCACCGCCCATTTGCTGTACCGCTTTCTCTTGAACTCCGTACGGAGCGTTTTCTGGATGAATCCTTGCTTTACCTTCTCATATTTCTGCGGCGAAGGGCCCCATTGCATCACAGCTGGTGTACCGCCTCACCCTCCACTGATCACTATCTTTTTGCCATAAGCAAAAAATCACGCTCCTGCTCTACACTGCTTTTTTTGAGACCTGGCTCAAGCTTTTTCATCTCTGGTTTCCATGTTGATCTTTACCCTTTGGTATTGTAATTTGTCTTTGGTATTGTTTTGGTACTGAGAGTTGAGCTACATCCCCAACCTTTTGTTTTTTGAGACAGGGTCTCTCTCTGTGTAATTCAGGCTGGTCTCGAACTCTCAGTGATACTGCCGCCGCAGCCTCCGGAGTGCTGGAAGTGGTTGCAGGCCCTTTTCTTATCTGGGGCGAGGATCTCGCTTAATTTGGAGGGTCTCCAAATTTGAATTCTGCCTCTGCCTCCCAGAGTGCTGGGATGATAGGCGTGGGCCAACACTCCGGGCTGTAATTTGCATCTGTCCTTTCACAGAGCTGCCCAACTGAACATTTTTCAAGGAGGGAAGAGCCTGGTTTTGTTTGTTTGTTACCGGGGATCGAACTCGTGACCTTAGAATTGCGAAGCAGATGGGGGAACCACTGAGCTAAATCCCTGGCCAAGAGCCTGGTTTTAGCCACTGTTGTCCCAGCTCTAAACAATTACTAGCTTTCAAGGGCCTTAGGAAGTCTGTAGTAAATTTTCAATTCTCTTTCTGATAAAGTAACCAGCTTTTTTGGGGGGTGGGGGGTTGAGACAGGGTCTCACTATGTAGTTGAGACTGACCTGGAACTCACTATGTAGCCCAGGCTGGCCTCAAACTCACAGCGATCCTCTTGCCTCAGCCTCCCGAATGGTGGGATTACAGGCGTGCGCCACCAAGCCCGGCAAAGTAACCATCTTTTTATGTTGAAGTACTACTCATTCAGCAACATTTTTAAAGTCTGAACATGCAAGGCCGCAGTCTAACTATAGAGAAAAAGGACATAATAATCCAATGTCCCAACAGGTAAAAAATATAACTTTATGATGGAGATGAAGTTGATTTTAGATATTATTTGGTTTCGAGCAATGAAGTGGAGATTGCTATACAATGGATTACTACAGATCAATTGCTGAGACCTTTATTCCTCGAGCATAGGCAATAAAGGTGTGTCTGACTATAGAGAAGCTAAAAACAGGCTGGGGATGTTTCTCAGTGGGAGTGAGGTTGTATGCAAGAAATAAAGATATGCTGGGCATGGTATTGAACACCTGTAATCCCATCACCCTGGAGGCTGAGACTGGCAGATTCTGTGAGTTCAAAGCCTGCCTAGGCTCCATAGTGAGTTCAAGGCCGACGTTGAACATGTACACACCAAAAAGAGAGAATGGGGGGGCAAGGAGGCAAGGAAATTATAATGGTAAGGGCATCAGAGTTACCAAGGTTATATCTTTACTCTGTATCTTTATTCCTTAGGCCTCTTTGTACTCCCTAGGCTTTTTCCTTCCAGGCCCCTCACTCCAGATCCCTTAAGGACACTATCATAGTCAATGAACTAAAGGACAACAACTTGGCCTTAGATGAAGAAACAGCCAGGTTTGGTGGCCTAAACCTATAATCCTCGTGCTCTAGAAGGCTGAGGCCTTAGCAATTCAATGAGTCTTTGTCTCTAAATAAGGTGGGGGCTGTGGATGTAGCTCAATGCAAGGCCCTGGCCCTGGGTTCAATCTCCAGTACCCCTCCTTCCCTCAAAAAAAAATTCAAGGGAATCAAATAACCTTTTTTTTTTGGAGACAGGGTCTCACTATGTAGTTCAGAAGTACCTCAGCTTCTCAAGTGCTGGGATTACAGGTACATGCTCCATACCTCTCTGATTTGGAAGTTCTCTTTCTTTCTTTTTTTTTTTTTTTTTTTTTTTTTTTTGGTACCAGGGCTGCATACCTCTCTGAAAGGCAGATCTTGAACCTTGATCTGTCTTCTTGGCGTGGCCATACTAGTTAAAGCTTCTTTTCCTACTTTAGAGGTAGAGATTCCCAATCCCAGACAATAATGCATGACACTGTCTCAACCACCATCATCTCATTATTCTGAGGGTGCACTTCAACTCTGCCTAAATAAATCTGCCTATGCCTCATACAGATGCCCTGAAATGCTTTTCTGTGATGAATTGAAACATCTACTCTGTAAGGGGGAGTTTAGGTCCCTTTTCCTCTTTGGGAGACCTGCTCAGACACCATTAGGTGACAGGAGGGCACCTATTAACTTGCAGCAAGGCCCTGAATTCATCCTAGCACTGGAAAAAGAGGGGGTTTGAGGCTGTAGCTCATTGAGAGAGCACTTGTCTTCCATGCACTGAAGTCCTGGGTTTGATTCCCAACACCACAAAATAAAACAGTAACAGCTACAAGCTGCTTTGCTTTTAGTTAGCACCACGTGTCAGTAAATTCTTTTTTTTTTCCTCTCATTGAGTTTATTGGTACATTTTAGGTATACAGTACAGTTACATTCATCATTGGGATCTTGTACCTTTACATGACAGGTCCTGGTTCTCATTGTTTCCCCTTGTTCCTGCCCTCCCTTCACCCCCTCCTCCCCTCCCCATTTACAAACACTTTATTTTCTTTTTTTCATTTTCTCATATTTTTTTCTTTTCCCTTATTACCTTTCCCCTGCATAATTGACAGTGTGAAATAGGAAGAAAAGAGCTAAAGGTGTAGGGAGCATGGGAAAGGCAGTGTCAGTAAATTCTAAACAGTGTCAGCAATATGGTTCTTTACAAACTAAAACTTTCCATAGTCTTCTTTCTTTCTTTTTTTTTTTTTTTTTTTTTTTTTCTTTTGTACTGGGGATCAAACTCTGGTCCTTGTGCTTGTGAGGCAGGCGGCTGAACCGCTGAGCTAAATCTCTGGCCCTGTTTGTTTTGTTTTTTGAGACGGTCTCACTACGTAGTTGAGACTGACCTAGAACTCACTGTGTAGCCCAAGCTGGTCTCAAACTCACAGTGATCCTCCTGCTTCAGCCTCCCAAGTGCTGGGATTACAGGCGTGCGCCACCATGCCCGGCAACTAAAATAACTTTAAATTGGCATATTCCCTCAGTGTAAATCTTTTGAGATTCCACTTCCAGCCAGCATGGAATAACAGAGATCACATTTACCCTCCTGTTTGTTACCAGAGTTTTATGGCAAAAGCCCTGGCTCCCGGGGTCTTAAAATGCCACTCAAGGAGACTAGCACTGAAGGGCAGGAAAAGGCTATAATTAGTATGGCCATACCAGGAAGACACATGCAAAGTTCAAGATGGCTTCTAGCAAGGTGTGGCTTCTAGCAAGGTGTGGCAGCACATGCCCATAACCCCAGCACTCTAGGAGGCTGAGGCAAGAGTGGTGAGATGGAGCTCAGCCTGGGCAATTTAGCAAGACCCTATCTCAAAATGAAAAAGGGGATGTAGTCTAGGGTGTAGGTCCTTGGTTCAATCCCCAATCTTCATCCCCCATAATCTGTCTTCCAAGGGTTAAAAGCAGCTTGGGGCTTCCCAGAAAAGGGGAGACCAAAAAAGATCAGGGGTTGGGTCTACATAGCTGGAAGCTAGGTAATCTCGATCAAGCATTTGGTTGGCTGGCGTCTCAGAGCCAGCCCCTGAGGTTTGGGGACAGCATCATCATTGCCTGAGGGCAACTCAGTTCCTAGGAGGCTCTGGCTTGGAGGGCCAGCCTCAGACCCCACCCACCAGTGAGCATCACTCCTGCTGGGGCTTGGTGACCTCATCATGGTGTGTTCTGCAAGTCTGCCCTTTCCTGAAATCTGAGGTGACTACAGGTTTAAAACCATGACTGGAGACTTTGAAACATCACTCCAGGAGGTCTGGAATGTTATAAATAAAAGCTAGCAATTGAATATCCTGCAAATCCTGAAAAGTACTTCAGTTACACTTTTTTGGGTATCCTCAAGTCTTGAGAGGGAGGAGATAGGGTCGGTGAATTTAGGGTTTTGAAACCTTTTATTACCAGTTTTTAGACAGACACACCCATAAGTGATTAACATGCCTTCATGCAGAGCTGAGCAGGAATCTGACCAGAAATTTTAAGGTCATAAAGGTGACAGATAAAATGAAGTCAAGGACTTTATTTGCTCTTAGTGACCCACTGGGTGCCTGGAGGCCACACCTCTAAGTCCCTGTTACACTGGAAACTGGGACAACTCAAGCAGACAGAATACAGGATCCAATTTTCCCTCCACTGGTACTGGGATTGAACACAAAGCTTTCATACTGAGCTACATCCCAGCCCTTTTTGAGACAAGGTTTCACTAAGTGGCTCAGGCTGAGTTTGAACTTGCCATCTTCCTGCCTCGGCCTCCCAGAGGATTGCAGGTGTGTGCCACTACACTGGGCTCTCTGTTCCAGAATCTTTCTCTTCAATTTCTCACTGCTTTGCAGCTCTGGATGCCACGTTGTCCAGTCA